GGGGGGACACACAGTTGCTGATTTGGAAGCAGTTGCGAGTCTAATTATTAAGCCATGCGTGGGAGTTGGGAGTGCATGAACTCAAAAATCCCCTGGCTTTGTTCATGTGATGTCAAGCCATGGGTTGTTGCTACATCTGAACCACGCCTTTCCCTCTTGGTGCACCTGTATCTATACCACTGTGCTACATCCTCCATGTGTTCTCCATACAGCAATCCCAAAGAGGCCTGTCTTAACAAAATTAATCTACAACAGGATGGAGGTGGCAATTGCATTTTGGTCCTGGTCTCAAGCTTCATCAGGAGACACAAGGACGTTGCAAGAACTGCAAGTCAAGTACAAGTTAGACAAACCTGCAGTTGCATTACAGTTCTTCCAGAATCAGTCAACTCAAGTAATTCAGTGACAGCACAACCGTAAACAAGAGTCATGGTACCCTTTAAAGTCTGCTGAAGTAAGTGGGCTTAGAAGGATATCCCTCTGTTTAGGATTGCACTGAGTGTTCCTTGGCCTGAGAAATGTAGCAAAACCACTTCAAAAATGTAGATACATTATTTATTAAAATAAGTACAAGGAAGTGGACAGCAACTCCCTTCCATGGGCACAGAACAAAGTACACGAACGTTAATAGTTGTCCCTGTTAATTCATTTTTAACCATATTTCTCTTCTTAAAATTTTTTACTGCCAAATGAACACTAAATAGAAAAGTGAAAAAAAATTCATTCCATGCTTCTATCGGTGCACTTAAGTGTGTGTGTGGGTGTGGGGGAGGAGATGATTACACTGGAGTAATGTATCATATGTGAATGAAGTGTTATGTACAGACTTACAGACAGATATTTGCTGGTCATCTGTGATACTCAGGATTGCTTCCAAGCAGCCAGCCATGGAAACTCTTTAAAAAGAGTTGGTTCTCTGTTCTTTTAGTTCACAGATGACCCGACATGAATAGATGTGTGCCCGTTTTGTTTTTTTTAAATTAAATGGTGGTGATGTAGCTTTTCTTATGGCCTTCTAAGTGATGTTGGCCATGGGAAGGTATCTGCATTTTGGGGATATTCTGTCCTCGTGCAATTGTGGTTTGGTGACTGAAATAGTGAGAAATGACAAAGCTAACTGAAGAGGCTTTTGCATGCTGAGCACAGAGACGGAATGCTCCCCCCAGGTATCACATCTCCAAACAGCCTTTGAGGAAACAAGCTCTAAGTATTGTGCAACCTACAGATCCCTTGCATACCTACTTCCTTTCTTAGCTTACCCTTTTAACCTGCTGAAAAGCATGTGAAAAGCATTTGTTCCCAGAGCATCCTTACATTTTATTCTTGTGATTAGCATAGTTAGGAAAACCAAACTGAGAAATCATAATGTTAGAGTATTTTAAGGGCATGTTGCCATAGATGCTAACCAATTTATTTAGGCAGTATGACCTCTGGAGCAAGTGCTCTGCCCGATGCCACATTCCAGAGTAGCCGGTGTTGCTTTCTTTTTCCAAATTTCGGATGTCTACTGGCTTCACAAACATGCCCGAAGGCTTTCCGGTATGTTTGGCCACTAAGAAATTCATGGCAATGTCATCACAGTTTTGAGTCTCGTCTATCATGGCATGCACAGCTTCAGGCTGTTTTTGAAAGAGTTCTAGGTATTCGCTGCTGAAGAATGCTGCTCCTATTAGAATCATGGAGTACTGGTCTCCACTGCCGACAACAGGGCTCTGCAGCTCAAAGCTCCCGTAGCTGTATATTCCTGAAGGGCTGGGAATGTGCTTTCTAGGAACAAATCCCACGATCTCATCTGGAAATTGCTGTAAGAAAAACAGACATTACAAGGGAAAAAAAGGTCTAAGATTTAATAACGCCACTATTCAGAGATTTGTCGAACAGTAAAGGGCAGGCCTCCAGAGCCAGGTACAGCTCAGTATGGAACCAAATATGGCTCTCTAAAAAAAGAAAGAAAACGGAATCTTTAAGATAAGCTGCATTGTAGGGGTAAATGAGATGCTAGAATAAATAGTATGTGAAAGGAATTTTTTGTTTTAGGGATGCTATACAAAAAGGGAAATGACAGAGGTGAAACAGTTGCTAGTAATCCAAGTGTGAACCATGCGCTGATTTGTCCCAGTACACTAAAACAATAATGCAGGGTGCTCCTACATACAGATATTATTGTGAGACCTCCTGTATGCCATTTCCTAGTAAAGGATCAACAACAACCAGTATTTGGGCTGTGGAAACTTTATGGATTATTAATCAGCCTGTCAATTATCAGTTATATTGTTGTATATTTTCATTTATGCAAACAGGCTTATGCTAGCTCTCTGTTGATCTCATGCTCTGAATTTTGACAGCATTAGGCTCTGTAATGATAAAAGGATGCTGATCCCCATTACAGAGGATTCTATATTAAACTGTAAAAAGGACACAGAAGATTGGACAATTGAGTGTACACTTTTATGGGCAGAATCAAAAGGAAACACTTATGAAGATACTACAATCTGATTAGATTTCCCAGTGGGTGCCACTTATAATATCAATAGGGATCTTAACTGACATATTATGTACTTATCACACGCACACAATACATGGTCCCTTTGTTCCTCACAATAACTCTGTGAGGTGCTTTAGGCTGGGAGATAGTGAGTGGCCAAAGGCCACCTACTTAAATTCATGGCTAAATGGACATTTGAACCTAGGTCTCTCCAGCTGCAATCCAAACACTGGATATTAAAGTATAGCTGCTCACTAGCAGAATATAGACTCTGTATGCATGCGGCTGTGTGTTCAATCTCTAGGAAGTTAGAGGACTTAGACCCTTGCCTCAGACACTACAGAACATCTGTTTCTAAGACTGACAGTAATAATGAGTTCTTGTATCAGGGCTGCTACTTAATTATAAGAAATACACACCACTCTTATCATAATATCCTACAAAAGAGGGCAGCGTGGTCACGTTTTACTCTACAATGAATCCTGTGGGATCTTAAAACCCTGCCAAATTTATTGTGGCAGAAAGCTTTTGTGGAGTGGAGCCCACTTCATTAGCTTCATGAGGTGATCTCCTAAACTGGTAGGGTTTTTTTTTTTAAATCTCAGTCTGACATACACAGGGATAGGGAAAGAAAAATTACTTTCTATAAGTTTCACTACATTTTCATGGTACGTCAAACCATAACCAGTGCAATTTTACTTTGAACTTTTAAACGATGTGCTGCATACTAGTCTCTCCATTTTGCTTGGCACTTTGCAGAGAAAACCTCTCACATCCATTCCGACCAGGACTTCACATTAGCAGTGGCAGGGCTGGATGGTGCCAGGGTGCCATCTTGTCTGATGTGTGGGATTCTTCTCAGTTTAATCAGTCTGAGGATGTGGACAGGATCCTTGGAGGTTTGAGGCCTACCACCTTCTTGTATGACCCTCGCCACTCCTGGCTACTGAAATCTTCTTGGCGGAAGGGCTGTCTGATTGGGTTTGAGAGGGGGTTATCCCCTCATGCTTAAAACAGGCTGTGGTGCATCCATTTCTAAAGAAGCCTACCCTGGACCCAGGAGATCTCAGTAATTATCAACCAGTCTCTGATAGTCCATACTTGAGCAAGGGGATTGAATGGGTGGGGCTGGACAACTCGAAACTTCCCTGGATTAGGCAAATTGTTTAGATCCCCTTCCAGTTTGGGTTTAGGCCTGGTTATGGAACTGAAACAGTCTCTGTCACCCTGGTAGATGGTATGCACTAGGAGATGGGACAGAGGGATTGTGACTCAGTTGGTTCTCCTGGACCTCTCAGCTGCTTTTGATACCATTAATCATGGTACCCTTCTGGACAGCCTATCTAGATTGGGAGGCAATAGGGAACTCCTCTGGGCTAAACTGCAACAACTAAACATAGATAAGAGGCTCCTTAACCTTATAAAAAAGCTATGTACATCAACAAAATGCCAAATTAAATGTTCACTGACAGGGAAATTAACTTCAAAAATCCCATCAAATAAAGGAAGAAGAGAAGAAGAAGAGATTGGATTTATACCCCGCCCTTCACTACCCGAAGGTGTCTCAGAGCGGCTTACAAGCTCCTTTCCCTTCCCCTCCCCACACCAGACACCCTGTGAGGTAGGTGGGGCTGGGAGAACTCTTGACAGGGACTGCTCTTTTTCAAGAACAGCTGTGCCAGAACTATGGCTTGCCCAAGGTCATCCAGCAGGTGCAAGTAGAGGAGCGGGGAATCAAACCCGGCTCTCCCAGATTAGAGTCCACGCACTTAACCACTACACCAAACTGGCTCTCAAACAGGAGTCAAACAAGGCTATATATTAGCACCTTTTCTATTCAACCTGTTCCTTAATTATCTCTCCCCTTGATCGCCATGCTCCTAAACTGGGCTCTGTCCACGCCCCTCTGCTATTATATGCAGACAACATGGTTCTATTGTCATGCTCCAAAGTTGGTTTAAAGCATTCACTAAATAGATGCCTTTCATATTTTATAATAAATAAATTACTTCTAAACCATGAAAAATCAAAAATACTTGTCTTTTCCAAAACTTGGAAACCATTCAAATGGACAATGGGAGGCAAACCAATTGAACAAGTTAAAATTTTTAGATACTTAGGTTTGCATTTCCAGTATAATGCATCTTGGTCTGTGCAACATAAATTAGCAATAAATATGGCCAACATCAATGCCTCTGGTATTTCCCGATTCTTCTACACCAGGGGCAATCAATTTATACCAGCTGCACTAAAAGTCTTCGAGGCCAAAGCAATTCCCCAACTCATGTATAGTATTCCAATATGGATAAGCGCACTTAATGGCACCATTGAACGTGTTCAATCTAAATTTCTTCGAAAGATCATGGGAATGCTGCGCTGTGTACCTTATGCAGCCTTATATCTAGAAACTGGGTTAAATTCTGTGGAATCTGGTGCGTGGCTTACGATAGTAAAATACTGGCTGCATTTACACTACAGTGTAGACCAAGGGAGCCTTAAACAACAAATGCTCACAGAGTCAAACATGTCCAATTTGCTATTACACACTGAGAGCAAAATAGCTGCCATGGGTATCCCATTGGACTCACTGTTTATGCTCCCTTTCATGGGCACTTTTCAGATGATTAAACACAGGGTCCTTGACACTGAAATACAAAGCTTAGCCAACAAATCTTGTTCGCCTCTGAACTTTGAGATCCCCCACACGGTAGGCCAAATGCCCCCATACTTATCTGTTATACAAGCACCACAACAGCGCAGAGCTTTTTCTCTAGCAAGATTCAATGTAATGCCATCAGCAATCTTGCATGGGAGATACAATAACCTAGTATACATGGCCAGACTTTGCCACTGTATGGATGCATTGAGACAGTTTCACATATCTGTTTGCATTGTCAATTTTATGTAGATATACGTTTTAGATATTTAAACCCTGTTTTAGCCAACGTGACGGACCTTCCTGATGCTTTAAAAGTATACCGTCTTTTGAATGACTCTGCTCCTGAAATATCAAGAAGGTAGCCATGTTTCTACAATCAGCTATGAAGCTATGACAGGAAAAACTGAGTAATACTTTGTAACAAATTGTTTTATGCAATTGTTTTATGCAACATTATGTAATATGCTTGGCATGAGAGGCACTGTTCTGTGGTGGTTCCAGTCCTACTGGAAGGGTAGGTTTCACAAGGTGGCACTGGGGGACTGTAGCTCAGTCTCTTGGCCTTTGGGGTCCCACAAGGTTCCATCTTGTCCTCTATACTATTTAACATCTACATGAAACCATCCAGAGATTTGGGCTGGGCCATCACCAATATGCAGATGGCGCTCAGCTCTATCTGACACTTCCAGCTGATGCCAGGGAGACTGTAGAAACCGTGAACCAGTGCCTCGAGGCAGTTTTGAAGTGGATCCAGGCTAGTAAACCGAAGCTTAATCTTGGCAAGATGAAGTGCTATGGGTGGGTGCAAGGCCTGACTTGGGATTTAAGGCATTACCTGTTTTGGATGGGGTTCCACTCCACTTGAAGGAACAGGTCTGCAGTCTGGGGGTGCTGTTGGACCCAGGCCTACTGCTGGATGAGCAGATGGCAGCTGTGCCCAAAAGTATCTTTTACCAGCTTCGACTGGTTAGCCAGCTGCCACCCTTCTGGGGCAGAAAAGATTTGGCCATTGTGGTGTGTGTCCTAGTTCCATCTAGATTAGATTACTACAGTGCACTCTATGCAGGGCTGCCCTTGAAAAGTGTTCAAAAATGCTGCAGAAAAGTGTACAAAGTGCTGCAACCAGGATGTTGACTGGAGTGGGTTGTAGGGATCATATCACTCCAATCTTGGCCCATCTACACTGGCTTCCAATTTGTTTCCAAGCACAAGCCCTGAACGGTCTGGGACCAACATACCTAAAAGGATCACCTAATCCCCTATGAACCCACCTGACCATTATAGTCATCTTCTGAGGGTGCACACCTACCTTCTGAGACTGGGCAGGTAGCAACCTGGGAAAGGGCCATCTTGATCATGGCACCAAAGAACTCTCCCCCCTGGGAGATCTGTCTGTCCCCTTCTGTTGCTGTCTTCCACCAGCAGATGAAGACTTTTTTGTTTTGTTCGGCATCCCCTTCTGTTGCCAGCAGGTGAAGACTTCTTTGTTTCGTCAGGCATTCCCTCAATGATCCCTCCTTCCTAATCAATGTCTGTCTTTTGCATGTAGTTTACTTGTTTTGTATGTATTTTAACTTTGTTTTTTAACTCTTTGAACATTGTTTTCATGATATGTTTGGGAGGGGGGGGTGATTTTTATGGTTTAGTAATGTAATTTTATCATGTATGTATTAAATTGTTAGCCCACCTCAGTGTAAGGGCAGAAAGGCAGGGTACAGATTTTGTAAATAACAAAAATAATTATAATGATACTCCTACTTTTAAAGAAATATGCTCAGCAAACATTCTTTGGGTATAAATGCAAGTTTATTAACTACATATAAGCACATTTCCATGCACCCCAGAAAGTTTCTGAATTAACATACTGTCTCTGAACATGTTATTTAATTTTAGACATTCTGGTCCATGTTAAACTTGAATGAAGCTGAACATAAAGATGTCTTATACTGACTGTTGGTCTATCAAGGTCAGTATTGTCTGTACTGGCACTCCAAGGTCTCAGGCAGAGGTCTATACCTGATCCTTTTAATTGGACATACTGGACCTGGGACTTTCTGTAGGCAAACCAGACGCTCTACCCTTGAGCCACAGCCCCCACCCTCAAAATCCTGGCATTTCAACTTGATCAATCTGGTGTCCAACTCACCCCCCACCCCCACCCCCGGACCCAGCAACCCTTTGGTAGATCCCAATGTACCTTTGGGAATTATAATCTTAAGGACAACAAACAACTCAAATGTGCATTATGTCTAATTAAAAGAAGATAGGAGAAACACTTACTTGCCAAATGGAGAAAGCGAAAACAAGGTCAAAAGCGCTAACTAGGGTGTCATCATCCACCATCAAAACAGCTGAACAGAAAAAAAAATATTTTGATGAGTGCACACATTTTAAAAAGTTAATTCTGAGCAAGAGACGTATGGCAAAATGGAACAATTACGCTTGCTGAAAACATTGGAAGGTTCCAATGCAGCTTAGGTCAAGAAGTGAACCACCATTATGAAGAGTGAAAGGATGCTTTCCTAAAGTCACCCAGGAGCAATGCTCATGTATAATATGTATAGTGGGATTTCTCAGCCTTTTTTTAGACTCAAGATTTTGTGAATTTGTACTGGACAATCTATTGGCTACCTCTGGTATAAAGTATCCTGGAGATGTCCAGACTGGTACCTTTCAGCAACATGAACAGGAGTCGGAGAACTAGCCCTTTGTATTTGTAAAGGGATGTACCCTCTTCCATAATGTGATGCCAATCCTGTTTAGTTAAAAGTGGACCCAATTCTTAAGGAAAATGTCTCCTTCATTGATCAATGGGATTTACTCCCTAATAAATGTGCTAAGAATTCTGTAGCATCCTTAAGACTAACAAAGGTTTATTCAAGGTATGAGCTTTCGTGTGCAAGGCACACTTTTTCTACTGCTTCAGACCAACATGGCTGACCACCTGGTGCTAAGAATTGCAATTTTAGCTTTGTACAGCAACTGAGGTAGCTAGCAATGAAAGTGGAGGGAAGTGACAGTCTTCATTGCTTTATTCACTGTATATATTATACTGTTGCACTCTTTCTCTAATTTTCAGGAAGGCCTTTTTATAAAGGGAACAGGGTTATAGTTAATGTCTGTGAAATTTTAGATCCGCTTCATAGCTTTGTTCAATGCATACAGTTTCTCTAATTTTGCATTCCAGTTTTGTTTCATTGTTTGCTATATACATTATACTGTTTTATTCTATGTAATGTACTATTTTAGTGCACTAAGCTACTTTTGTAATCCTGTTTATCATATTTTCATTGTGTTTATTCATTTAAAATATTTTATGTACCTGTCTTTTCCCCAAGCATCTCAGGACCCAAGGTAGGTCCTTGATTGTGTGTTTTCTATTGTCCTTGCATTGTTTTTAATTGAATAATCCATTCTGAGAAAGGCAGACTATAAATGAAGAAAGAGAAGAAGAAGAAGAAGAAGAAGAAGAAGAAGAAGAAGAGATTGTATACCCCGCCCTTCACTTGGAGTCTCAGAGTGGCTTACAATCTCCTTTCCGTTTCCCTCCCCACAACAAACACCCTGGGACGTAGATGAGGCCAAGAGAGCTCTGACAGAATCTGCTCTGACAGAACTATGGATTGCCCAAGGTCATCCAGCAGCTGCAAGTGGAGGAGTGGGGAATCAAACCCGGTTCTCCCAGATTAGAGTCCACGCACTTAACCACTATACCAAACTGGCAAATAAATAAGTACTCTGAAGTGCTTTCTGTGGGACAGTTACCTGGGAATCACAGATTAGACTGGGGAAAGGATAGACCAACAAATAAAAAGGAGTGGTTTGGCAGAGAGGCAGGGGTAGTGGAAGGTGTAGGAGTGTTAGAAGAAATAGCAATAGCAACTGTTACTAGGGAGAGGAAAATACAAAGGGGCCAGGGAGTGGATGCTAGAGAAGGAGTCAGAATGGATAAGGACAGAAACTGTGGGCAAGCTGTTGAGGTGAGTGAAATAACACCGACTCTCTGCCATACAAAACATGAGATAACGGCTCCTAGGTTTCAGAGCTTATCCACACAAGCATTTATGTCACTCAGTTTCTCATCATCGGTTGAGTCATAGTTGAATGTACAAACTGGCTCAATTGAAAAACATTGCATTTCAGATGTGGTGATACATAACTTCTGTCTACAGTGACTGTTCTGTGATGGCTTACTTGATGCCACAAACACTGAGTGATGAACATGTGTTGTGTAGAACACCCCTCAGTTGTAAACCATTTCCCCCAAGTGGGAGCAACATTGCCAGGAGGGTGAGATAACAACAGACAGGCTGCCATTACCTTTGGTATCCAGCTCAGGGAAAACCTGCAGTCTGTTCCTCATGCGATTTGCAGTTTGCACTTTGAAGATAACAGGGACAGGGTGAGGTCCCAGGGAATTCCAGGTCTCCTCAGGAGCTTTCTCCCCAACATTATTCCACACAACAATCACTTTGTGCAAATGGGGGATGGCTTGATAATGATTTAAAAGCTTCAAGAGCAAATCAGTCCTATTGTACGTTTGCATAATAAGAGTGAACGAATCCGATGCAATCTGGCCTTGGGACACTACGCAGGTTGAGCATTTTATCTTCCTTAATGTTGGGAAGCAAAGCAGTTAATGCACCCGCCACAAGCAATAACAAAAGGATCACTACTGAAGAGAAATGAAGTAGTCGGATCCCCATAATTCTTCCTGGGAGCTTGCAGGTGTGATAAAACCTTTAAATGAAAGGGAAAGCCATCAGTTATCATCATAACTTGCACAATTCAAAAATTAGCATCCACTATCAAAGGCTTATTAAAGTCAGATGGATTTTTGCTGAGTCAGGGACTGATTGGCTAAGGATGTTCAAAGGCACAGGGACATTGCTGGGTGTTTAGCAATAAAGGCAATGACAGAAATCTTGCCCCTGCTATCTCCTTCCTAGAACTTGAGATAAGGTCCCCAAAAAGGGCAGTGGGACTCTCATCTCAGGACAGCTGTCAAGGCTATGGGTGGCTGTATGCAGATCTAGATGTTATATCTCAGCTCCCTGAGTTGAGTGGCTTTACCTTGAGCTTGGAGAGCAAGCAGGAGTAACCGTGGAGGAGAAGACGAGACTGCATGTGAGAGATTTGCAAAAGAATCACATTGCAACCAGGCTGAACACATGAAGCGGCCTTATTCAGAGTCTGGCCATTAATCTGTCAAGATCTGTGTTATCTATATGGTGATAACTATGGTCCAGCCACTGGGAAGGCAGCAAGCCAGGAGGAGGAAGTGGGCTTTTATTCTTGAACACTCATTTCCACTCATGTAATAGCCCAGCTTCCTGGACTAAGAAGACTAGGACAAAGCTCCCTCTCTGCTTTCCAAAAGCTCACGGCAAAAGTTGGTCACACTAGAGAAGGATGGAACCACACACCAGCTAAGGATAGCTCGGGTGAATACCAGTCCTCCTGATCTTCCAGTGGCTGTGACTGCTATTGCAGCTGTGGAAGACCATATTATCTGAATGAGGGCAGAACCCCACCCACTTTCTGAAAAGCTCAGCAGGCACCACACTGGAGAACCCTGATCTAACCCGTCACATACTACACTTGGATTCCCTTCTACCAGTCCAACAGCCTGCCTAGTGGGCCACTTGCCTGCTCCTTTTAGTGCCTGAGCTCTGAAAAAGCTCCTCCTTATCACGAACCCCTAATGAGGTAGTGGGTCTACTCACTACTTTCTGACCCTTGCAAGAGTCTGGACCTTCCTTTGAGAGCTAAAGAGATGATTGGTTGTTAAATCCAGGTTTATAGTTCTCCATTTTAACTCCTTCCTTCTATTTTTAAGCCCATAATTGACCTCCTGATCCCTGTCATTGTTCTGGGCAACGTCTGTGTTGCTGGCCACTGGCTGATTGGCAGTGAGTTCCCGCTGTGGCCAGAATATTGCCACCTAGGCAGGGCAACTCGCTGGCCATCAAGCAGCTCAGCTATGCCCCTAGTGGAAGCAGAGGGTACCACCAACCCCCTACATACCCATTCACCTTACTTGTAGCCCACCTTCTACTAGGGACTTAAAACAGCAGCCTTGTAATCAGCCATTATGATCACAGCAGCCCATATATTATTCTTATTTTTTACATCTATAGTCTGCCTTTCTTCTTCCATCACAGAAGTCAAACGCCAGCAGTTTCCCATGCAGGCCCTGACCAGACCCAGCAACAAACACACAGGGAACACGGCAAAGTTAGACAAACATAAAGAAACACCGTGTTAGAACAAAACACACTACTAATATGCACTTGTGTCTTCATATATTGATTTACATACAATAGAGACCCTAGTATATCTTATACACATTCATTATAGTACAAAAACCTAAAGTACATTATATATCTTCTAACAGAAAAGTCCAAAGCTACAAAGACCTATTCCAATGCTGTAGACTATCTTGCTCCTGATAAGAGACTGATGGAGGTTGCAACAGTCGTAAATGATGAGAGATGCAGCAGGCTGTTATATTCTCCACAAAAAGTGATTCAGCGAGCATTAAAGCAAGCAACGTGCCTCCTAGGCAAAAATTGCGTGTTTCGACAGATTCGTCTTCAGGCAGACATATTTTTCCTGGAACCAAAGCTCACAATTTTACAGTGCATAAGTCAACAATTCTATAGAAGGCTTCTCCGGTTCTCCAGACCCAGCCAGCCATGCTTAGCTACTTAGCAAAATGACTACATCATAAGCATTCAGACTGTTCAGTAGGCCCTAGGTATAAAAAGGAAACCACTGACTGTGATTTAGGTTCTGTTTAAGAAAATACCACCATATGCAATCACAAATATGAGATGCACCACACCAAAAATGGGATTTGCAGGCATGCAACAGTTCCGTAATATAAGCCAAATGTTTCCGTACTGCATATGAAACTGCAATAGTGTGAAGAATGTCTTATTCTTCATGAGTCAAAAACACAGACAAGCATTAATTCAAAACCATTGCACAGGTAAAATATACCAGTATGTTTTTGTGAGAACTCACCTCATTCCTGCAAAGAAGCTTTATATTAGGAACTGCTTGGCGTAATCTTCAGCTCTGTTGGGAAATGAAAATAATACATGGTCACACATTCCCCAAAGTCACTATTAGCTTACTGAGTAGTTGAAAAATGTAGAGAAAAATATGTTGTTGGGCATAATAGATATTAATAGGCTACCGACAGATTGTGCAGGTTCAAGGTATTGGCTTGAATCCTGCAGTAAATTTCCACTGATGGAAGAGCATTCAGCCAGTGGAAGGGGATTTCCTTGCCCTCCTCCCTTGGAAGTGGGGTACTGACTTGAATATAAAGACATGGATGAACTAACAAGGTTTGGCACATTGCTAAATCACTGGAGCTAAGCAAGTTTGTGTATCCGAAGGATGGCGGACAACAAAAAAGCTTGTTTTTCAATAATATGGCAGCCTCTTCTGGTATACCGGCCACAAAAAGTTAAATGAATTATGTGCATTCTTGTTTTGTATGACCTTTTCCTCTTTTTTTGTTATTGTAGTTTTGAAATGTTTTCAATCTATTTATACATAATTTTTCAAAAAAATGAATGGGCTGCCTACAGACATAGTAGGTTCAAGCTATTAGCTTGGATCCTGCAGTAAACTCCCACTGAGAGAAGAGAGTTCAGACAGCAGAAGGCTATCTCCTTGCCCTCTTCCCTCCCACCATAGTCTAAAATGATTCCCCAAATGCTGATCTTGAGGGACAGAGGACCTCCAGGAACAGCATGAGGGGGAGCTGGAGGTCTGCATTAGGATGGGGAAATCAGTGGAAATCACCCTTTCTATAAGCAGGGCTTTTTTAAGCATCCAAGGTATTTTGTTTCTCCAGGCCCTGCTGTGCTCCAGGCCCTGCTGAGAATGCCTGTTGCCTTTTGTGTTGCTGATGGCTCAGAGGGAGGGAGCGGAGTCCCGGTTGTGTGCTGGTACCTTTGTTAGGCAGCTCCAAGTATTTGCTTTGATGGTTTGGCCCAAGAACCACTCCTGTTTTCCACTGGGCCTAACAACATTTTCCCCCTCCCCCTCCCCTCCTTTTGGGGGAACTTAACACCTAGCCTGAAGAAAAAATCCTGGTACAAAGCCTGCTCGTAAATTTTCTGATATTGTTATTATTTTATTTAGCTATACTCATCCAAAACATTTTTAGCCCACTCCCCTGCCAGACTTAAATTTCAGGGGGCCTTCCAAAAAACCATAAATTATACAAGAATGACAAAAACAACAAAATAAACAACAGGAGGAGCAGCAAGAAGGCCCAGAAATAAATCAATTAAAACATAGTTTAATCTTTTTAAGCAGTTTAAAACAGCAATTTAAACGCAGTACACCAAACAAACCAACCTCCTAAGGTGACCGCCAAAAGCTTAGAACAGGACAGACTCTGCTTGGTACCTAAACAAAGATGGCCTAGAAAGAGAGTTCCATTATTGGGTTGTAAGTACCTCCAAAGGCAGTCAGAAAGGGACATCCATTGATAACTGTGGCTGGCAGGCAAATTCACATGGGAGAAGGTGGTCCTTCAATTATTGCAGTCTGATTGTTTAGGGATTTGAAGGTCAAACTTGCACTTTAAATGGTGCTTGGAAAGAAAGAAAAAGCCACAACAATCTCTTAATATGTCCAAAACCTTTACTGTGGCAGCTCCTGGTCAACCGCCTAGTCACCCTATTTTGGACCAGCTGAACCCCTCAATTTCTTTGCATTAATGTGATAGATCCTGCTACCACTCATACCTAAGTTATGTAACTATCTACAAGTTTACCTGCAAATATGTTTAGAATCAAGCTTCAGACTAATACAGACTCATGGGAAACATCCTATGCTACATACAACGAGAAAAACACAGGTCCTGTGGATCCATCCCATTAATGATGGCACTTTCCTTCAGCACAGGGAGTCTCCCCCTGATCTAGGAGCTTCTTGTATCCGTGAAAGGCTCCTTCTGCATGGAGTAAAATGTCACCATGGAACCTGTAATGTCTTAGTTTCCACGCATTCTTCCAGTTTCTTCTTTTATCTTGCTCATTGGATGGTTTTATTTTAAGCTGAAGCGTACCAGGAGATCACTGTTTGTGGATCTAGAAGCTAAATATGTATGACAGTCATAGATGAATACCTAAGTGCCATCTCCACACTGGTTATTTAGGCAGTAGACTAGGCGTAGATTGATCCCTTGCTTTAGAACTGATTTTCAGCATAACCTTAGGTAAATCACATATGATGAAACTGCATGGAAAATTCAGTGAAACCTGTCAGGCTAGCACTAAAATTTATTTTGCTGACTTCCTTTTATCTTATTTTCACATGGCTTGTGTATCTATTATCATAGACTTGTGGTCCAATCCTGTGCATCTCAACAAGGCTTACTCTCACGTGTATGTGTGTGCAGAAGAGTATGGCAAGATCATGCCTCAAGCACATCCGTGATCCAAGAATGAACACGCTCTAAGAGGTAGGTTCCCTAAACTCAACAGGACTTTTGAGTTAACACAGACTGGGTTTTTCAATTTAGTCAGATCCGAAGGGCTGCTTGCAGGTACAGAAGTACAAAGAGACGTTTATGCTGATGCAGATAAAACATTATCTGAAGCATGGGCAGGTAGACCCCTTTGTCTCCTTATTACATAACACAGGCAAAATAAAACAGGAGTCCAATACTGCCTGAAAGGCAAGATTTACGTCAGCAGAAACTGGAATAAGCCTTGGGCAAAGCATTATGTTCACACAAGAGATTGAACGTTGTGATACTATGCACCCCTCACCTGAGAGTAAGTTCCATTCCAGAATTACTACATGCATAGGACTGCACTGTTTGTCTAACACTCAAGGATCTTGAGGATGCATTTTGCAGGTAACCTCAAAGGGGGGGGGGGGGATGAATAGAAAAATCCCTAGCAATGCTCTTGTTGTCTGAACTGGCTTCCTGCCTCTTCTCAGACCCACATGGCCGACCCTATGAGCTGCCCAAGAGCATGCAACCTATCAGCTAACAATATAAAGCGTCTCAATATTTCCAAGGGATTTTCCCTCACCTAAACAGTTTTTTAAAGTGAGATCAATAAACAGAATTGCCATGCCATAATTTCAAATACTACAGAGAGGCAATCCTAAGCAGGTCTACTCAGAAGTAAGTCCCAATTTAGTTATTGAGGCTTACTCCCAAGGAAGTGTTTTTAAGATTGCAGCCTAAATCTCTTCCACAGTACATCCCGTACGTGCCGTACCGCGCCATTGTCTAAACGCAGAATGCACACCACCCCCTTCCTCCACCATGACACAGTGAAGCCTCTTCCCAACGAGCGTGACTTCGAACTGGCCTCCTTACCAGCAATCAATGGGTCAGGCACGATTTCACATCGTCAGCGTAAATCAGCGTGGAAGATCTCGTGAAAAAAACCCTGCGTTCAAAGGACCTAACGGAGCCGATCCGCGATCTGGCACCGGTTGATTCAATTGCAAACGAAAACACACATCGCAGCTCGCAATGTGAGACGACCGCAAAAGGGGCTGTCCCAAAGCCTGGCCCCTCCTTTTCGGGTGCCTTTGTGCTTCCTGGTCAAGGCAGGACTTCGTCCTCCTTCTCCCCCCCCCCCCCCCGGCCTGGGAATGAGCGACCCTAGCCCTTCCACACGTTATTCTTGTGTCTGTTTATTGGGACCCATGTTTTCGCTTTCTCCGCTTCAGGCTTCCGGGCCTTAATTCATCTCAGAAACGTGGCCTTGAACTGAGCGGATCAAAAGCCGAATTGGATCGCCTTACCTACTGCACCAGGAACGACGGGCGAAGAAGATCTTCACGTTTAGGCTCCCATAAAAGCCTGTCTCTGCACCGTCTCAGCCATGGATGCAATTTTGCATGTGGTGTGGCCAGGCCAGCAATCGTGACAACATTACCCCCAACATACGGAGGTGGCAGAAAGTACTTAACAGTTATGGCTTGGCCTGGATTCAAGGCGGAGAAAGCGAACGATCCAAAACTGGGGAAACGGGGGACGGGGCTGTACTGAAAGGAACAGTAAGCATGTTCATTGGGAACAACGGGCGCTCCCCGAAGACCCATGCATATAGTCGGCATGGCTGGGTTCCATTGAGAAATACAGAAATACAACGGGGTTGCAGATTCAAGGAGGAACGGATATATACCGGTATATATATATTAAAAAATGGAATGGTTCCCAGGACCAGAACAGAGAAATACGGGGGGGGGGGGGGGAAGAAAACAGAAGGGCCCCCCCCGGGATTGGGAGGACACCACCAAGACTGCAATAATGCCCCCTAACAGAGGGAGGGTGCCTAATGACATCGCAGGGCATGGAATGACCATCCGCAGGAGGAGGATGGTCCCTCCAGGGCTTTCTTTCTGGGGGGACACGCCGGGATGGAGTTCTGGAACCTCTTTGACAAAAATTATTTTTTAAATATTTAAAGGTTCATGAGCTGTATACAGATTGAAAACCTCATTTTCCTCTTGAGAGTTCTGACAACTCCCCCCCCCCCTTAGAATAATAACTGTGGGACTGGGATGACAGCCTTGGAGGTGGAATGATAGACCCTGGGAGTGAAATAACATCACTGGGGATGGAATAGTGGTCTCTGGGGCAACCCATGTCCTGCTGCATGCCCCACAGATTGGAAGTGCGCACATTCATTTCTTTATATATTTATACCCTGCCTTTCCCCGCCAATGAGGACCCAAAGCAGTTTACAACTAGGCTCTCCCTCCTCCATTTTATCTTCACAACAACTCTGTGAGGTAGATTTGGCTGAGTGTATGTGGCTGGCTCAAGGGCACCCAGCAAGCTTCCATGGCAGAGTAGGGATTCAGTCATGCCCACAGCCTCTTGCTTGTGCTCTCTTTTCCTCCACCCAGCTGTCCCCCTGCTCAGGAGCTTGTCAGGGGCTGCTTCCCATCTGTGCCACCTTCGCTCAAGGTGCCATACTCCAGTGTCTACTGCTCTTTGAACCTGGATCTCCCCAGTCCTAGTCCCACACAAATTCTTATGCATTGTCTAATTTTGTCTGCTATGAAGAAGTTCTTCTTTT